GAGAGAGAGAGAGAAAGAGTGTGTGTTGCCCAGTGGAAGAAAAAAGTGTGTGTGTGTGTTGACCTCATCGCAAATAGTTTTCACACAGAGACTAGGTGAACCAGGGCGCGTGCGCGCGCGACGGGGGGTGCACTACGCTTCCTTTGACTATGTGGAAGAAGTATGTGTGTGTGTGTGCGAGCATTACATTTATTCAAAAAATCAGGGTGTTTACAGACAACACACACACACCTCACCGGGAGATCAGTCTCACACCGGGGTTATCCCATCAATGAGTGGGAGAGGCCGAAACCTTGAACCGGCTGCGCGTGTCCGCGGCAAGCAAAGGGGGCTTCCCTGGCCTTCACGGAAGCACCGTCCCCACAGCCCCGACGAAGCGATCACGATGCAGTGGGGCCTGCGACCTTGCCAGGCTGATCTTGCAGCGCTGAAACAAAAGCAAGTGGCGGCTGAGACACTGGCTTGCAAAGAGAAGCTTGGAGGCTGAAACGACATAGAGCTAGGAAATGGAAAGAAGCTTGGTTCCATTCCAGTTTGCCCTGTCCAATGTGTCATAAAGCACAGCGTTATGAGTTGCGGGACGCCCATGCAGACCGTAGCAGGAAAGACCTTCTGAGCGCCTTGGCCGTGAAGGAAAGCTTGAACAAGCAGCTGAAGGCAGGGCCGGCCTCCCTCTCTGCGAAGCAACGGCTTCAAACTTACAGTCTGGTCGAAGCAAATCTGAGGAGACTGAATACCAAGTGTACAGTGAGATTCGAACGTAAAGTGCCGCATGAAAGGCAGGCTAAGCAATCTGTGGTGAAACCTGCCTTGGCAGGAGAACACCACCAGGCTTGGCAGTTCTCTCGAGGCTGTTTACGAGGATCCTGGAAGCAGAGCACGATGCTTTTGCACAGCATGGAATCCAACACGGCTTTCGTTTGACTGCGACCTTCACGGACGTGTGTGCGATGAAATTACACCTATGCATTCAAGCATCAGACCTCTTGTGGTCCATGCGAGTTGTGCCTTAAAGCTATTTCAGCGCTGCTAAAGCAGTGCTTCTGGAGCCAAGGATCTCAAGTACATGCGGAAGCTGTTGGTGGAAGCCCGGCAGGCTCACTTACCCGCCGATGTTGTGCGCTGCTACCGAAAGCTCTAATCGCTTCCCCCATTTATTAAA